TGAGGCGGAAGGATCGCCGGAGCCTAGCAGGTCGAGACTGTGGTGGGCGGGAGCGTGCCACTGCACTCTAGCCTGGGCGATGGAGTGAGACTCCAACTCAAAAAAAAAAAAGAACTAAGGTCAGGCGCGGTGGCTCACACCTGGAATCCCAGCACTTTGGGAGACGGAGGTGGGAGGATTGCCTGAGGCCAGGAGTTCAAGAGCAGTCTGGTCTCTACAAAAAATATTTTAAAAAATAATAATTAGCCTGGCATGGTGGCACATGCCTATAGTCCAGTCCAGCCCTCAGCCCCTCGTTCTCGGAAGCCTGCACTGGGACAGGCTGCTTTGCTCCAGCTCCTGGGTCACCTCGCTGTCTGATCCAGATGTCTCAGTCGCTTTCTCCCCCGCTTCCCACCCCTGGGCCTCTGACCTTCCAGCCTCCAGAGCAAACCACAGGCTGCCTTTGTGTGAATATTTGCATATCAAAACCGCACATTTACATTTTATAACATACACTCCGGGAACCGGCCAGAGTCCACTCCCTCATCTATTAGAGGGAAGTATTTACCTGGGCAACCCCCATCAAAAGTGTGCTGGGGGTGTCAGAGAGTATAGGCTGTGTATGCCTCCAGGATGTTGTGGGTCCAGGTAGGAACTGTGAGCATCCTGAATCCGAATGTGTCCTTGTGTGTGTTCTGGCTCTGGTGTGTGTTCCCTCACAGTGTGCTCCATTGCGGTGTCCTTGGTCTGCTGTGTGGGCCCTTGGGGTAGATGTGTGCTTGGTTTTTTATTTTTATTTGGTTTATTTATTTTTGAGTTGAAGTCACTCTGTCACCCAGGCCGGAGTGCAGTGGCATGATCACAGTTCACCACAGCCTCGAGCTTCTGGCGTCAAGTGATCCTTCTGCCTCAGCCTCCAAAATAGCTGGAACTACAGGTGCGCGCCACCACAACTGGCTAATTGTTTTTGATTTTTGTAGAGACAAGGTCTGGCTATGTTGCCCAGGCTGGTTTCAAACACCTGGGCTCAAGCGATCCTCCCGACTTGGCCTCCCCAAGTGCTGGGGTTACAGGTGTAAGCCATCACACCCGGCCAGATGTGTGTTCGTGAGGCTTTTGTTTTCTCTCTGTAAAATGGGTGACAATCTTGGCATTTACCTCACAGGATCACTGTGAAGGCTGTTGGGTTAATGCAGGTCATATCCTCACTGCCGGGCATGGCTCAGGTTGGTAAAAGTCAGCAGCTGTGACATGATTCCCAGCAGGAACCTTTATTCGCCTGCAGCTATGTCAAAATAAATAAGAATTTTTAAATATTAAAAATAAATATAAAAACAGGAACCTCCAGGCCCTTGTTTCCTTCCTCTCCCCGGCTTCCAAGATGTGTAAGAGGCTCAAACATTCCCCTTGGAGATGTCCGTGTGCTGAGCCTGGGAGCTGAGCCTGGGAGCTGAAGCAGAGGACAATGATCGCAGTGGGGGCAGTGACCGCACTGGGGACAGCAGCGGTATCTTCTCTCATTCAGCTTGAGGGAAGAAGGACCCTCAGCCTCTACCATGGCTGGGGAGGACGGGGAATGGGAGGGGGCACTTGTCAGGGAGCTAGGGCCTCCAGAGAAATGCAAGAACTCAGAACTGGAGGGTGCCCCCGGAGAGGCCCCTGTGCTGCTCGAACACCCACGGGAATCTTCCTCATCATCATGAAGACCACATCAGAGCTGCCAGGCAGGAAGAATCCTAGGTCCTCCTCCCCACCTCTCTTGGCCAGAACTCATTCTCTTCTCTAAACTGGTTCCATCCAGCCCAAAGCTGGGATGTGCTCAGGCATGTCTCTCCTTCCTTGGTTAGGATTTTTGCTACACTCAATTAGTTTGCTCTTTTTTTTTTTTTTTTTGAGTTGGAGTCTCACTGTGTCGCTCAAGCTGGAGTGCAGTGGCACACTCACGGCCACCATAGCCTCAACCTGCTAGGTTCAGGCGATCCTTCCGCCTCAGCCTTCCAAGAGGCTGCAACCACAGACATGCACCACCAGGCCCAGTTAATTTTTTGACTTACTGTAGAGACAAGGTCTTGCCATGTTGCCCAGGTTGGTGTCAAACCTGTGGGCTCAGGTAGTCCTCTCGCCTCTGCCTCCCAAAGTGCTGGGATGACAGGTGTGAGCCACTGCGCCTGGTCTAGTTTGGTCTTTATTGTACCTATTAACTGCACAAGCCTTTCAAGACATCTTCATAAGCATGAAACAGACTCAGGAAGATTACAGAAGCCAACAAGATCTGCTGCAGGCCCTGGAGAGCTCTCCATGCATGGGGAAGTCTCTATCATAAAGGAGAATGAAAGATAGCTATACCAGTTGCAGTGGCTCATGCCTGTAATCCCAGCTCTTTGGGAGGTGGAAGCGAGAAGTCTGCCTCAATCCAGGGGGTGGACACCAGCCTAGACAACTTGGCGAGACCTTGTCTCTACAATAAATCAAAAAAATTAGGTAGGGCTCTGTGGCTCAGCCTGTAACCCCAGCACTTTGGAAGGCTGAGGCGAGAGGACTACCTGAGCCTGCGGGTTCGAGACCAGCCTGGGCATCTTGGTGAGACTTCGTCTCTACAATAATTCACAAAAACTAGCCAGATGTGGTGGCGTCATCTGTAGTTCCAACTACTTGGAAGGCTGAGGTGGAAGGATTGCCTGAGTTCAGCAGGTCGAGGCTGCAGTGGCCGTGAGTGTGCCATTGCACTCCAGCCTGAGTGACAGAGTGAGACTCCAACTCAAAAAAAAGAAAAAAGAAAAAAAAAGAAGGAACACGGGCAGGGGTGAGAAGTGGGAGCTCACTTTCATTTGTCCGAGCTGACCTCATGGGATGAGCCCTAAGCAAATGCCAGCAGTTTCATTTTCTAATCTCAGTTCTGACCCAGTAGGCTGAAAGAGCTTGTGTGTGTCACTTCCTTCTCTGAAACTCCACGGCTTCGTCTGTAAAGTGGGGGTGTTCGGTCAGATGAAGTTGGAAAGCCACCCCTACTGGCCTGACGTCTGAAGCGGTCTCTTGTGTTTATTGCAAACGGGCAGGAAGCAAAATCAGGCTCTTCTCAGAATGCATACATTAAAGACCTGGAGAACGGTCTCAGGAAAAAGGCCTTGGAAGTTTGGTGTCTTGTGTGTCTAGGTGACTGCAGGCCAGCTCTTATGGTCACAGCTCTCAGGTGTCTTGGTCACAGCTGTCTGCTTGGCACCCAGCACTGTGTCTGCCACAATAAATGTTTAGTGAATGGAGTCGTGAATCAATGAGGTGACAGAGACTAGGGCCAGTTTCTTGGCCAAAACTGAAACCTCTCTTGCCCCCAGATCACTGGATCCTTTGAGGCTTTTGCTCCCCCCACATTTACTCTGGGATAAGAGAGAGATCCTGGGGCCTGTGGGTTCTGCAGCAATCAATAGAAAGTGGGTCACAAAACAGCTCTGCAGAGCACAGAGCCTTGAGGAAATGCCCGGCTTCTGTGCCAGTTCACACTGATGGAGCACCCACTCTATCTGTTGGCCTCACCTAGCTCGATGCATTTAACCATGGCCTCAAAAGGCTGTACAGGAGAGTGTGAGGGATTTGCAGTTCTAAACCCCAGCAGCGCTGACCCTCTGGGTAACCTCAGGAGAGTTGCCGTCCCTCTCCGAGCTTTCATTTTTAATATCTGTGAAATGGAAACAATAGATCCGCTTCGCTGGGTTATGGGAAGGAAATGAGCACGTGGAAGCGGAACGCTTCATAAATGCTAGTTATTATGGTTCCTCTGGGCACACAAGCCTGCTCGCCTCCCCCAGGGCGCACACAGGCATGCTCATCCTCCCACGTGCGCGCAGAGGCACAGAGACGCGTGCCGGCGCCCGCCAAAGGGGCTCGCGGGGCCTCAGACCCCGGGCGATCCTCAAGCCGCTGCGGCAGCCCCTGGGTCCTCAGCTTCCCTCCTTTCCGCTCGGTTCTTTATGAATGAATTCCGGCGGCGAGGGGTTTATTTTTTTATGAATGGGAGCCCAAGCAGTGAATGAAGCCGGGAGCCAGCCCCTGAATTCTGATTGGTCCCCGCAGCTGGGAAACTCCGCCCCCCGGCTCGGCCGGGCGAGTCTCCGGATTGGCGGGCGTGCCCGGCCCTGGGGTTTCATTCACAAAAGTCAATGAAACAAAGGGAACGGGGTGGGGGGGAGAGCTAGCGGAGGCCAGGCGGAGGAAATGCACCAATCAGCTGCTCCCCCGGGCTCACAACTGTCTGCGGCGCCCGAAAAACACGCTGGTGCGCGGGGGACCCGGGGCCGGAGCCGCCTCGCTCCGGCCTAGCTCCGCGGCCCTG